AAAAAAAAAAAAAAAAAAAAAAAAGAGAGCAGGAAGAAAGAAACTTACAGCTTGCTGACTGGTCTGATCTTCTTTCAGAATGTAGACGAGGCAAAGGAGAACGATGAACTCATTGAATTTCATTCTCATGTCTTCATTTATGTCGCACGCTTCAAACAACTCGTTTATTTCCTCATCGGTGAAATTAAGTTCTAGTTTCTGAAAGCACCGTTTTAGCTCTTGAGGATCTATTGCACCATTTCCATCCTCGTCTAATACAAAACAACATAAAATTAGCTCCTAATGACCGACTTTCTACTAGAAAAAAGTAACATTTACGTGTCTTCAACTATACTTGGTAAAAGTAGCTGATAAGCTACTCAAAGAAGCTTGTGGGATAAGCTCGAGCTTTTTAATAAAGCTCGTCCTACTAAACGAAACTTATTTGAATACTGGATGCTTATAAGCTAACCAAATAAGCCATAAGCTATAAGCTAGCTTATTTGGTTACCAAACATAACCTTCAAATGGCGATCTCCACTTATGATACAAGATACTTGACATTTATGAGTCTAATTCTAGCCAGATTTCTACAAACAAATACTACTGCATTAGAAAGCACACCTAAAGTTCATCTCTTTACCAAGAATCACTTCCCCATATTGTTCATTTACCGAGCATTATTTCGACTTCCATTTTTCTTACTAAACCACTTCTATACACTACTTCTACTGCAATAAATCTAGACCTTCGCTAAAAGCAGAACCTTTTTATTTTTCACGAAAACCGTAAAAAGTATGTATTCGTCTCAAGAAGAAACAACAACACTCACCGAACTCTTCGAATGTGGTTTTACATTTCCTAAAGCTCTCATCAATCTTGGGGAACTTTAGGATAATGGTGTTGAATGATTTTATGGAACTCCCTTTTACTTCTCCCCTTCGCAAGGCCTCGATTATTTTGGCGTCGAGCTTCGACTTAGGCTCCAAACTAGTGTGAGGCCCATCTTTGCCAACAACACTCCCCATGCTTACTTGAAAGTTCAACAATATGTGACCTAATTTAATCAATTCCTCTGCAAACACATACACCCAAGTGAAAACTCATGCCACCCATTCTTATTAACCTTGAAGAAAAAACAAATAGCAAAAACAAAATTAAATAATAAAAACAGAAGATTTTTTTTTTTTTTTTTTT